TTCCTTCCTTCCTTCCTTCCTTCCTTCCTTCCTTCCTTCCTTCCTTCTCTCTCTTTCTTTCTTTCTTTCCTTCTTTCTTTCCTCTTTTTGAGACAGAGTCTCGCTCTGTCACCAGTGCAGTGGCTCGATCTCAGTTCACTGAAACCTCCGACTCCCTGATTCAAGATTTTCTCCTGTCTTAGTCTCCTGATAGCTGGGATTACAGGCACCTGCCACCACGCCCAGCTAATTTTTGTATTTTTAGTAGAGACAGAGTTTCACCATGTTGACCAGGCTGGTCTTGATCTCTTGACCTTGCGATTTGCCCACTGTGGCCTTCTAAAATGCTGGCATTACAGGCGTGAGCCACCATGCCTGGCCCAAGGTGACCATTTCTTATCAACATGTGACCAAACTCTGGGGCCTTCAGGCAAAGAAACCAAGCTCTCAGCATCTAAACCTACAAATTCAAACTGTGGGATCCTTCACGTGAGGGACCTCGCTGATGCTGATCTTGGCACAGGGTTAAAAGAAAACCTGACTCAGAAAGAAATAGTGCGATCAGGATTCTTGTGGGGGGTTTTAAAACACTTTAAGATTTATAAAACTCTTTTAAAACACTCCATGTATTCATCCTGGTATATTTACAAATCTGTTTTAAGTTTTTAAGATAATTGCTGAAAGATATTTTTAAGTCTCCATCTAGTTAGTTCAATTCACTATCCATCCATCTATTCATCTATTTATCTATCTCTATTCATCCATCTATTCATTGATCCATCCATCTATTCATACTTCCATCTACCTATCTATTCATCCATCTGACATATATAGATATATATAGTAGTTATGTGTGTATTTATATGAATATATCATAATGTAATTTGTAACACATGTGAATATACGCACACATTTATATATCACACACACACACACACACACACACACACACACACTCACACACACACAGAGCTGCGTTTCCTTCAACAGTATTTCTTCACCTCACCCTGCATTGCTTCTGGATGTTGCTGCCCTCTCTCTTTCCTTTCAGCAAGCCAAAAAGGGGCTCCTCACCCTCACCGTGAGAACCCGCCTGATGGCGCCCCCTTCCCCGTGCAGCCACCTGTCTCCCGCGCTGTGCCGCTCCCTGAGCTCCAGCAGTTGTATCACCAAGGACAGCAGCTCCTTCGCCTTGGAAAGCCCCTCGGCCCCCGTCAGCACCGCCAAGCCCAATTACAGAATCATGGTGGAGGTTTCTCTGCAGAAAGGTAAGAGTCCTGCAGCTGCAGCCTTGTCTGGGTCTCCAGCGCTGGCTGAGCCACCCGGGCTTCCCCCACTTGGCATCAGTCCGGGGGCAGGGCAGGATGTTGTCTTTTAGCAGATTGTATGGTTATTGCTTGGAGCCAGGTCTAGTCTTCTGTTTATAGACGCTCAAGACATACCATTCAAACTTAGTCAGTGTGTTCTAGGTCAGTGCTTAAAATAAAGCAAAACAAAGCAAATAAAAAATAACACACAAAAACACTCAGAGAGAAAGAGAGAGAGAAATAATGCGCCGGGAGTGGTAACTCTGCAGCAATATGCTAAGATGCCCTGGGCAGGCTGCCTCGCCTTCCCTGGTCCTGTTTCCCTACCTGTGGCAGAGAATTCAGGTCCCTTCTACCTCTGACACTCAGGGACAGACAGCCATTCCCTTTGCCACCCCAGGTGGGCTGCTAACTCCAGAGAGCTTGGAGCCCTCTCTGCCTGAATGCAACCAAGCTGAGACCTTTGGATAAAGAGGAGGCAGCAAGGTACAGAGCTGGGCTCCAGCACAGGGGCCAGCATGTATTCTAGGGGCAGAAAGAAGGCCAGCATGGCTGGAGCTAGGTGGGCAGAGTGAGAGCTGGCATCAAAGCACTTGGCAGAGGCAGAGAGATGCTGTGGGACTTTGCAGCTCAATTCTCTTCTAACTACAGCAGGAAATCCTTTAAAGATTGCTAAGCAGGGGAGTGATACATCCACTTATGCTTCAAAAAATATCTCCTAGGGTTCTCCATGGAGAATGGCCCATAGTGTGAGGCTTGGAAACCACTTGCAGGTCAGAGGTTGGGAGAAGTGGATTTGGAGAGAGGAGGGTGGGCTTGAGGTCTGGTGTCAAAGTGGAAGGGAATTCCTTGCATGCAGCTTTGCCTGATGCATGTCTTGGCGCTCCTGCTGGACCAGAAGCTCCCTGAGGCTTCAGATGCCTCTATGTGCCTGCAAGCCTGGCACAATGCTTGGCATAAGGACTAGGGGCAGATAAATGTGTGCTGGCATGGTGCCCACAGCTCCATCCAGGGCTCCTGCAGTCCGTTTACTGAGCAGGCACGAAGTGGGACAGGCGTGGCCCCAGCGTGCTGTTTCCTCTGATCACTGGCATCAGAAATGCCTTAGGGACGATTTTTGTCTGCTCATTTTATCTGATGCAGCTTTTTAAACTCTACCCCCAGAGATTTTGCTTCAACAGGGTGAGGTGAGGCTGAGGGATCCACATTCTAAACGAGTATCTTATGCAATTTCTGGCTTCCATTAGACTGGAAAGCTCTTGCTCTAGTCAGGAAACCTGGGTGTGGGAAGGGCTCTGGCTTTTACCAAATTCTTCATTCATAAAATGGGATTGCCAACAATTGCCATGGCATTCTTCATGGGACTGCTGGGAAGAGCAGCATGAGAGGGTGAAAACATTCGCCAAAGTGCTCTGTAAATGATATGTGTCAAAAGAAAACCGTAAAGGGCTTTCCCCTACTCTGTGGTCGCTCCATCTCGTCCTCCTTTTCCAGACCTTTCCATGTTGGTGAGCTGCAGGCCCTCCTCTCCCACATGCTGGGGGATCCCGTCCAGCCCCACAGCCCTAACGCCAGATACATGCAGCTACATGCAAACTTTCGGCTTCTGCCCTGCTTTCTCTCCCCGGTTCCGGCTTCATCTGTGCAAACATCTGCTCTGCACGTCCCTGGGACAGTCCCAGACATCCTGACAGCACCCTCTTCCCCGTGCAGCTGCCTGAAATCTCCATCCCTCACTTCCCAGCACATTGCACGTGTCATGTGGGCAAAGCTGAACCCCCAGGCCTTACCTTGACAACCTCAGTCTTCCGTAGCCTGCTTTGGTAAATTGCATCACTGTCGCACAATTACTCAAGAGAAACAAATCTCCAAGTTTGATTTTATTTGTTGAGTTTCCTTATTTTTCTTTCTTTTTTTTTTTGAGACAGAGTCTCACTCTGTCAGCAGGCGCCAGACTGGAGTGCAGTGGCACAATCTCGGCTCACTGCAACCTCCGCCTCCCAGGTTCAAGTAATTCTCCTGCCTCAGCCTCCTGAGTAGCTGGGACCACAGGTGCATGCCACCACGCCCAGCTAATTTTTGTAATTTTAGTAGAGACGGGATTTCACCATGTTGGCCAGGATGGTCTCTATCTCTTGACCTTGTGATCCACCTGCCTCGGCCTCCCAAAGTGCTGGGATTACAGGCGTGAGCCACTGCACCCGGCCTATTTGTTAAGTTTCTATACTTCATCCATCAGCAAGTCTATCTTCAAAATCTATTCCACTGGCATCCATTTCTCTCCGTGTTCACAAGAGATGAAGTCCGGGCCTCCACGGTCTCTCTCAGCAGCGGCCTCTTAGCTGGCCTGCTTGCTTCCATTCTCCAGGACCCATAGCTCTTTCCCTCCATGGTAGCCAGACATGTTTATAAAAACAGGAATGAGATCGTGTCACTGCCTTGTTCGCAGCTCTCCTATGCCATCCCTTCTCAGTAGAGAATAAACCCACCCACTGACGTGCCCCTGTTGACAAAGCCCCACTGACTCTGCGGTCTGTCCCCATCTCTCCCCATCATGTGCTGCTCTCCTGTGCAGGCCGTGTCCCCGCCACACTGGCCTTTCTGGTCCTGCGACGTGGCATGTTTGCTTTTGCCCTTGGGCCTTTGCGTGGGCTGTTTCTGCTTCTGACATGCGCTGTCCCATCTCTTCACCCCTAACTCTTGTCACTTGTAATTTAGCCTAAACCGTGTCTCCTCTGAGGCCTGAAGTAGCCATCCCTCACTTTCCAGCATGTTCTGCATACATTCGCCATATAAGACTTACCACTCTTAGATACTGTTCTCTCTTCTCATCTAGTGCCCTCCTTTCCTTCTTCCCCCCCACCCTCCTTCCCTCCTTCCTTCCTAGTCTTTCCCCGCTATTCCTTCCTGCCTCGGTCACTGTTCTGAGCCTAGAGCGGTGCCTGCACACCGTGACCGCTCCGTGAATACGGGCGGATGAAAGCCGTAGTCACCAGGGGGCCGCGTCTGTGGCACCCAGTGGGCGGGTGGGCCCCTGGGAAAGCTCAGTCCTGGTCTCCCCGCCCTGCCCCGTTCTGCCTTCCAGAGGCTGGCGTGGGCCTGGGCATCGGCCTGTGCAGTGTGCCCTACTTCCAGTGCATCTCCGGCATCTTTGTCCACACGCTGTCTCCGGGATCCGTGGCGCATCTGGATGGACGCCTCCGGTATGTCCTCACTTCTGTGCTGAAGAGACCCCTGACTTACGACCAGGGAAGAAATACCTTAGAATGTCGGCAGATTGGTTTGGAGATGATCCATAAAGAATGGTCTCGTGGTGGGGTCCCCCAGCTCTGTGGCTGGGGAGGGGCAGGCCTCCTTCCTGCTCCCCAAGACACTCTTGGGAGATGCATTTTTCTGTTTGGCTTAGAGGGAGCAAGGCTTTGCACCCCAGCCCCGGCCCAGGCCACTGGGAAGGTGGGTGCTGGCTGAGCCCCCGGGGCCCGCAGGAGCAGGGTGGGCAGGGTCTTTGTTCTCGGCTCCCACAGCAGAGCCAGGTGTGGGGGGCCTGCCAGGACCCGATGGAGGTGGGGTGGCTTGAACACCACTTCCCGCTACGGCCGGCACACCCCTGCTCTGCACACATTTGTGACCCTGAGAAATCCCAGGGCGGGGCCAGGAGGCAGAGAACCTGTTGGGGGCTCTGAGACCACACCCAGCGGGCTGTTCAAGCCTGTGGCTGGAGCTGGGGTCCGGTTATCTAATAAAGTCCCGAAGTTGCCTCAAAAAAAAAAAAAAAAAACAGAAAGAATCATCTGGGCATAGCTCAGAGTTGTGTTCCTCAAAGTGTGGGCTGGACCAGCAGAATCAACAGCAACTGGGAACTTGTTAGAGATATGAAATCTTAGACACCCCACCCAGACCTGCTGAGCCAGGACCATGGGGATTCTAACAAAATCCCCGTGAATGAGTATGCATATTACAGTTTAAGAAGCATTGTCTCAGAGAACACCAGCTCAGCACAGAAAACATGAAATAAACACACTTTAATTCAGATTTCATATAGAATTTACAATGACATAAATAGGAGCTTTGATGAGGTTAATCTATGAATTCTATATGGAAATGGCTTAATGGTAAAAATATTACTAAGCTGGGCACGGAGGCTCAAACCTGTAATCCAGCACTTTGAGAGGCCGAGGCAAGTGGATGGCTTAAGCTCAGGAGTTCAAGACCAGCCTGGCCAACACGGCAAAACCCATCTCTACTAAACATACAAAAATTAGCCGAGCGTGGTGCCACATGCCTATAAGCCCAGCTACTTGGGAGGCTGAGGCAGGAGGATCACTTGAGCCCGGGAGGCAGAGGTTGCAGTAAGCTGAGATCGTGCCACTGCACTCCAGCCTGGGCAACAGAGCAAGACCCTATCTCAAAAAAAAAAAAAAAGAGAAAGAGAGAGAAAATATCAGTAGTAGAAATACAGGTTCTTTCTGGCATAACAAAATATTTTGGGGTATTCCAGATATATTTTTTATAAATAATTTCTAAGAGAAGTTCAAATCTAAATTTTCTTTTCAATAGTGATCTGAATTTGATTTTTTAAAATCGAATTTGTTAGAATTTAATTCATTAGAATACTTTGTAACATTCACGTATAGTACAAATATATCTTCTCTCGCTGGTTTTGGATTTTCCTAAATCAGGAGAGTTTTGCCATCTTTTTGAAGGGTTTTATGCGATCCCTGCTTATGATGCTGTCTTGATGGAGCTCCTGAATTAGAAAGGGATTTGCTGTTCTCTGCAGAGGGGTGGCAGGTGATTTGCTGAGCTGCTGTGCTGGTACTTGGGACTCTGCAGGTTCAGAGTGCTTGTCTTTGTCCCAGTACCCTCAGGCAGAGAGTGCCTCCTTCTTAGATCTGCGGTGGGGTAGGGATTATTCTGGAAGCGTCTGCTTTTCCTAGCATCTGGTGCTCTATGACCATGGTCTTCAGTTACAGCAGTAAAAATGAATACTCTCCTAGCAAGGGTGAAGGGGGATGAACTCGGCAGAAGGAAGCCACAGAACATAGCAGGAGGCACGGGGAAATCAGCCTCAGGAGACTGGAGTTCCGATCCTGGACCTGCTGGCGACCAGCCAGGCCACGGGTCTACAAACTGGGGCCTATCACTGTTTTGCTTTGTTTGTTTGTTTTAATGGAATTCTATTGGAACAAAGCCAGGTTTATTTGTTTATGCCTCATCTATGGCTGCAGCTGTATTGTTATTAATGTGACAGCAGAGTTGAGTCGTTTCAACAGAGACAGTGCAGCAAAGCATGCAACACTGGAAATATTCTCTGGCCCTTTGCAGAAAAAGTTTGTCAATTCCTCAGCAGACCTAGATCAGGGAAGCCTGTTCACCATCTGCAGCTCAATTTCCCTACCTAGATTGGGAAGGGGACTGGATCATACAAAGCATGTATCCATGTGACCCCATCTTTTCTACCATTATTTTTTTTAGGTTTACGTTGCTATTAACTGCCTTCCCACCTGACAGCTAGAATGAACACCACCACCTTTTCTCCTTATTTCTTTTTGCAAGAATCTGAGCTGCTCTCCTGCCAAGTTATTTTTTCTCCCCGTTTTAGCACATATAGGATATTAGGTCTGACATCTAACATCCCGTGTGTGGTACGTTAGATCCAATTTTTCCTCCTATTCTACTTATGGGAACACTGAGGCCCAAGGAGAGGATGTGGAGGATGAAATCTTAGTTAACTGGTTATTCAGTTGAATTCGCTAAAGCACACTCAATCTTTAATGGGCATACTTAAATGTGAAAAGGAGGAAAGTTACAGATGAACTTTCATTAATGTTGGCCCAGCGTAGATAGGAAATACCTGCCACTTTGCGGTTGTACAGTCAGGGGGTGTGGGATGTGCTGCTTTGGGCTGCCCTGTTCTGAGTTTTGGTCTAGTAGCTAGGAAGGTCTACTTATTCATGTGATTTTTAGATCACATCAAACAGCCTGGCCAGGAGTGGGCCCCTGAGGCAGGGACTGTTCCCATGTCTCATTGATTCTCTTACTGATGGCTTCTTGTTGATGCTTGAACAGATGTGGGGATGAGCTTGTGGAAATCAGTGATTCCCCTGTGCACTGCATGACACTCAACGAAGTCTACACCATCCTGAGTCACTGTGATCCTGGTCCCATCCCCATCACCGTCAGCCGACATCCAGACCCACAGGTAACACCCGCCGGGCTACCCTCCTCTTCTCAGGCTCACTCTTTCAGTACCAAAACTGGAACAAGAGATAGATGGAAAAAAGGATGTTGCTGGCTCGGTTTGGACCTGAATTCCCAAGAATCCCTTCCAGGTTTCTGTAATAAGAATTGTCTGCAGCAGAAGTCCACGAACAAACTCCTAGGTATCAGAGGCAATCGACATCCACTGAGGGAAGCTCTGACAGCTGAGTTATAAGCTCTAGGACAGGGAAATGGAGACCCAAGGTCCCAGATAGTAGAAGCAAGAGATGTCTTCATGTATGCATCTAGTAGGTACCCACTGTGGAAATGTCTGGAGGTAGGCACTGAAGTTACAGAGACAAGTTCATAGCACACAGTCCTGCCCTGCAGAAGCTCACAGTATCAATAAAGAGCCTGACATACAAGTAATTGCAAAACAGAGATGGTAGGTCCTATGGGAATACAGGAATATAGCAGGGAATGGCTTATAATGTAAAAAAAAAAAAAAAATTCCAGAGGTTAGTTTTCTCTAGGCAGAGAATATGAGGAAGATCATTCCAGGCAGTGGGAAAAAAAAGTTCAAAGTTACAGAGTCATGAAGGGACCCGACATGGAAGGAGAGGAGTGGGTTTTGTGGGGTTGGAATGTAGGGTACTAGGTGAGAATGACTGAGAAGAGAGGTAGGCATAGCACTGGCATTACACTGCAGAGGGCTTTCAACAGGATACGAAAGAGCTTGCATTTTCTTCTGCATAGTGGGGAGCTATGGGAGGTCTGTAGCTGTAGATGAGGCATGTTTGTATTTTAATTTTTTAACCTTTGATTGCAGTAGACAGGATAGAGTGGGTGGAGGGTGGAGTTTCTAAGAGGAAGGCAGCAGATGGTGAGATCCTGAACTACACAGCAGCCATGGGAAGAGCAAAAGGAAGGGGTAGTGTATTAGCCTGTTCTCACGCTACTGATGGAGACATACCTAAGACTGGGTAATTTATAAAGAAAAAGAGGTTAATGGACTCACAGTTCCATGTGGCTAAGGAGGCCTCCCAGTCATGGCAGAAGGTGAAAGGCACATCTTACACGGTGGCAGGCAAGAAGAGAATGAGAGCCACGTGAAAGGGGAAACCCTTTATAAAATCATCAGATAGTGAGACTTATTCACTGTCATGAGAACAGCATGGGGGAACCTGCCCATGATTCCATTATCTCCCCCAGGTCCCTCCCACAACACGTGGGAACACAACCAGATCATATCAGGCAACAGGAGGCAATGCTTGGGAAGACTCAACAAGAGCTGCTGGCCGGGTCGTTCTGGGGTAGGAGAGGGAGGAGCTGAGGATGTCTCGAATATTTTGAGATTGGAAGACTCAGCAATGGTCTTCCACGGTGGTAAGCTTGAGGGGAGAGAAGAGCATGATCTTCGTGTGGGATATAGTGAGGTGGAGGTGCCATGGGGTGTCCAGGTAAAGATGCCCAGTTGGCAGGTTAGACTTAGGGCTGATAGCAGCTATTACAGGTACCCAGGCTGAAGCCAGACTTGGGGGTTGAAGCCCTGCTGCAGGTAAGAGCTCTGGGGAACTTGGAATAATCACCACCATGAATTAGTTAATCCTTAATGTGTGCCATGCATGTTTTCCAAAGATGTGACCCACACAAGTGCATTTAGTTGCTATGCAGCCCCCTGAAATTAGTGTGATATTCTGCCCCCCCCCGCCAACTCACAGATGAGGAAACTGAGGCTTAGAAAGGACAAAGAAGCCTCCCAATGGTGAAGCTACTAAGTAAAGAAACTACAATGTAAATCCAGTAAAGCCTGTGCTGTGAGCTCACTGACTCCCAAACTCCCAGTGACACTTGGGCAGAGTGGAGTCGTGAGGAAGATCAATATTTGTAATGGTGTGGTGGAATTCAAACCCAGCCCCGTTCCATGGACGGCACACTGGGGCTGAACACACCAGAGACAAGCGAACTTCTTAACTCGGGCAAGCAAATAATTGGCCTAAATCTCTGGGCAGTACAAGAAAAGAAAGAGGTCCCAGTTGATTGACCAGTGCCTCTTGCTGCTTTTAGGACTCTGGCAGAACATCAGTGGAGCAGGGGTCAGGCTGGGGGCAAATGCTGTGGCCCTGGGTTGAAGGAGTGTGCATTCCGGCCAGAGAGACGGGACACACACAGAGGCCAGAGAGGTGAGGGCCTTGACAGTGAGGGAGCTGGGGTTCCAGCTGCTCAGATACCAGAGCCAGGCCAGAAAGGACAGGTAAGGTTTAGAGTGGCAGGAAGGCAAAGGCACCCTAGGCAGGGGAGATCCAGGACACAGACACAGAGAGAAGAGAGGCGGGGCCAGCAGCAGGATGCCTGACACATGTGCAGTCGGCTGTTTGCTTATGGTGACCTTGGGCAACTCATCCAACCTCCAAGAGCCTCTGGTTCCTCAACTCTGACACGGGGGAGTGGTCTTTACCTTACCTGATTGTTGTGAATGGTAACTCTTCCCTATTAATAGTTTACCATCTGCCAGGCATTGTGCCCAAGACTTTAAATGATTTATCTATTATTGACTATGGTGGTAAAATATACATAACATAAAATTTACCCTCTTAACCATTTTCTAAGTGTACAGTTCAATGGCATTAAAGACATTCTCATTGCTGTGCGGTCGTCACCACCATCCATCTGCAGAGCCCTTTCCATCTTTCAGAATTTAAACTCCACCCATTAAACAAGTCCCTGTGTTCCTCTACCTGCAGCCCCTGGGAATCACCAATTTAATTTCTGTCTCTGTGATGTTGACCTCTATGTTCTTCACAGAACTGGAATCATATAATATTTGTCTTTTTGTGTCTCACTTATTTGACTTCACATAATACCCTCAAGATTAATGTTGTAGCACGTGCCAGAATTTCCTTCCTCTTTAAAGTAGAATAATATTCCAGTGTGTTTGTGTGCGTGTGCATGTGTGTGTGCGTGTGTGCATGTGTGTGTATGTCCATGGATGTGTGTGCATGTGTGTGTATGTCCATGGATGTGTGTGTGCATGTGTGTGTATGTCCATGGGTCCGTGTGTGTGCATGTGCATGTGTGCATGTGCACATGCGTGCATGTGCATGTGTGCATGTGCACATGCATGCATGTGTGTGTGCGTGTGTGCATGAACGTGTGTGCATGCACATGTACGTGTGTGTGCGTGCGTGCATGTGCATGTGTGCATGTGCATGTGTGTGCATGCATGTGTGTGCGTGTATGTGTGCATATATGTGTGTGTGTGTGTGTGTGTGAGTGTGTGTATCACATTCTGTTTATTCATTTGTGGGTACTTGGGTTGTTTCCACCTTTTGACTTGTGAATAATGCCACAATGAAGTGGAGTACAGATATCTCTCAGATACTGACTTCACTTTTTTGGGGGTATACACCCAGAAGTGGAATTGCTGGGTGATATAGTAATTCTATTTTTAAGTTTTTGAGGAGCCTTCAAACTATTTTCCGCAGCGGCTACACGATTGTACATTCTTATCAACAGCACAGGGCTTCCAATTTCTCCATATCCTTGCCAACGTTTTGTTCTTTTCTTTTTTTGAGACGAAGTCTCACTCTGTCACCCAGGCTAGAGTGCAGCGGCACGGTCTGAGCTTACTAAACTGGGTTCAAGCGATTCTCCTGCCTCAGCCTCCCCAGTAGGTGGGACTACAGGCATGTGCCACCACACTGGTTAATTTTTGTATTTTTAGTAGAGACAGTTTTCACCATGTTGGTCAGGCTGATCTCAAACTCCTGACCTCAAGTGATCTGCCCGCCTCAGCCTCCCAAATTGCAGGGATTACAGGCATGAGCCACCAGGCCCAGCCTCTTTTCTCTTTTCAATAGTAGCCATCCTAATGTCCTAATGCGTGTGAGGTGGTAACTCAGTATGGTTGTGATTTGTATTTACCTAGTCATTAGTGATGTTGAGCATTTTTTCATTAGCTTTTTGGCTGTTTGTGTATCTCTTTAAAAGAAATGTCTATTCAGGTCCTGTGCCCAGTTTTTAACCAGGCTGTTTTATTGTTGTTGCTCCTGCTGAATTGTAGGAGTTCCTTACATATTCTGGACCTCAACCATTTATCTGAACTATGCTTTGCAAATATTTTCTCCCGTTCTGTGAGTTGCCTCTTCAATCTCTTGATTATGTCCTTTGGATGCACAGCAGTTTTTCATTTTTACATCGTCCAACGTGTCTATTGTTTTGTGTCTTGTACTTTTGATGTCAAATAACTTACTTTTAAAAAACCTGTCCTCATTGTTAAGTGGCTTTTATTATTGTTATTGCCTTAGAGAAGGAAGAGATGGAGGCTTAGGAGGCTAAGTAACTTGTCTAGGTATGCGCGCCTAGACAGTAGAGGAACTGGGACTAGAACACAGGCCTGTTTGACTCTAAGACTCATACTCTTAACTATTACTCCAAAGTGATAATGAACTGTGAGTCATAAGACACACAGTGTAAGAGTGATTGTGATGGTTATGACATTGTTGACGATGAGGTCATGACAGCATTGCCATGAATGGACTAGCTCATAGAGGTAACCTATGAAATGGGAGCTTGACATAGAATTTTGCATCAAGTAGTGGGGAGAAAGTTGGAGAGTTGAGGAGGCCTCCTTGGGAACTCCTGCATTGATAGACTTTGGACTTTATCTAGAAGATACTGGGGAACCGTTGATTCCCAGGGTACTTCTGGAAATGGAATTTGTCAGCTATTTACAGAGTGGGTTGAAAGAAAAAAAAAAAAACAACGTAGAATGTAGTGGCCCAGCTAGGGAGCTGGTACAGGGCTGGGAGCCTGATGCTGGAACTTCCACTGTTTGAGGAGATGATTGACATTTTCTAGGTCTCTGAACAGCAACTCAAAGAAGCTGTGGCCCAGGCGGCGGAAAACAGCAAGTTTGGAAAGGAGAGGCATCAGTGGAGTCTGGAAGGTAAGACAAATGTTGAACTTGATGTAAATATCTTTGCCTTCTTAGAAAGCTTAGGATTTATCCACTTACTCATCCTGTAGCCAAGGAATAGTAACAGAAGTTATCATAGACCAGCATAGTATGTAGACAAAGACTGAAACTAGCAACCCCCCAGCTAAAGTTAGGTTATATTTTTGCTTTGTTTGGAAGACACAGGATTTTAAAAACATCTGAATTTGAACTGTTGCAAATGTGCGGGGCTCTCTCCAGCTCCCTGTTCCCTTTATCCTGTACCAAGTTGCCATGCACACAATTGCCCCTGTAGGTATTTGAGTTTGCAGCTCCTAGTCTATAATAATAGAATATTGGAAAAATTAACATTTGGGAATATAATTCTGATATTTATTGACTTCTTATGATGTCAGACACTGTGCTAATTCATGCATTCACACATAATTTTTATGCACATTTTGTAAGAAAAAGTGAGGCCTTCAAAGACTCTTTTACTCAAAGTCACAGCACTAGAGCACAGAGGCTGTGGAATGGAAGTCCAGTTGGCTTGACTCCCATGCCCAGCCACTGGGCATTCATCAAGCCATCATGGAATATCCTTATGATACAACAACATGCAACCATTGGCACTGATATCAACAAGAAACTGACCTGAGAAAGTGTTCAGAGAAAAGAACAGAACACAACATTTTATTTCAGCTCTGGTCTACTGTTTCCACCTACCCAACATGCATATATGCTCAGGAAAGCATGACAGAGAAACTCGCCAACATTTTGACCGTAGTGATTTCTGGATGATAGAAACACAGGTGAAGTGAATGTTTACTTTCATTCCTCTTGTGGCTGTTTTCTCTAAGGAGATGCATTATCTTTTATGATCAGGAAAATGCAAAAGAAAACTTTTTATGTAAAGAGAAAGTGAATTAAGAGCCAGGCTGGCCTTGGTTCTCTCTCGTGGGGCTCCCCTGGCTTTCCGAATCTCTCAGCATGAGCTGGAATGTGAGCAACAGACTAGACTTCAATTTTCTCCCACCCCCTCGAGCCGTGATTGTAGGGCGGTTTGCCGCTAGAGAGAAGGGCCTCTCAAGGATGTGTGGGTAGCCCTAGTGTTGGAAACCAAGGTAGGGGGCACTGGGCATCAGAAAGAAGGGCCAGGAGGGAGGGAGGGACGGAGGGAGGGAGGGAGGTGCGATGGCACCTCTTAGAAGTAGTGGCTTTCTGCCCTCACCTCACCCTCAACTGGAAAGAACTGGTGACATCTTCATATAAGATTCAGAGTGCCTTGACAGGTAGTTTCTCTATCTTTGTTATTAAGCCTCAAAATAAGCCCAGTGACTTTAGAATTATCATCTGCATTTTACAGACGCAGAAATGGAGTTGGGTCCCCCAGGAAGCCGACTCTGAGATGGCGTTTTTATCAGGAAGCCTGTTTCTTAGGAAGTGTCCTGGGGATCACTACCTGTGGCAGAGAGGGGAGTATAGGCAGGTAGACCGCGGGAGGATGGAGCTGGGGTGCACGGCCAACAGCGTCAGCCAAGCCCTGGAGCTCTGCAGCTAAAGTCCCCGTTAGAGCTGTCCTGAGTTGGCCAACATGGCTGGGCCTCTGTAACCCTGTCTCCAGCAGTCCCTAGAGATGGGATGCCCCGCGTGGATCCCTGGAGGGACCCACAGCTGAAAGTAGTCTACCAAAAGCACTCCCCACAGCTGGGACACCAAGCCCTCCCTCAATGGGTGATCTGGGGGGGCGTATCTCCATATCCATCACTCACAGGCTCAGAAAGCTTGAACGATTTTCCCAACCCAAAGTCAGACAGCTCACTGGGGTCCAACACCAAGATTGCCACACTCCAGATCCAACATGGCCTCAGATGAGACAGCTGGTGATTGCCACGTTCCAGATCCAGTGGCCTCAGATGAGACAGCTGTGTACAGTGTGATGCCTGCAGCAGTCACAGGCGAGGCGGGGGGGTTTTTTCATCTTCTGAAGCTCAGCTGTGAAGATTCCCTGGTGCTTCCCACACAGGTGTCAAAAGGCTGGAAAGCAGTTGGCACGGGCGGCCTACCATGGAGAAGGAACAAGAGAAGAACTCAGCGCCCCCACATCGCAGGGCTCAGAAGATCATGGTCCGCTCCAGCAGTGACAGCAGCTACATGTCTGGGTCCCCGGGGGGAAGTCCTGGGGGTGGCAGTGCTGAGAAGCCGTCCTCCGACGTGGACATCAGCACTCACAGCCCCAGCCTGCCCCTGGCACGGGAGCCAGGGGTGCTTTCTGTAGCATCCTCCAGGCTGCCCCAGGAGAGCCCGCCCCTCCGAGAGAACCGGGACAGCCACCCTCCGCTGAGACTAAAGAAATCCTTTGAGATTTTGGTGAGAAAGCCTACGTCCTCCAAGCCCAAGCCTCCACCCAGAAAATACTTTAAAAGTGACAGTGACCCTCAGAAGAGTTTGGAAGAGAGAGAGAACTCCTCATGCGTGTCTGGGCACACCCTGCCCACCTGTGGCCAGGTAAGAGGATGGGTCCACAGGTTGAGTGTTTCCAGCACCAGACTCAAATCTTGAGCATGGGCTGTAGTGTTAGCAGGGGCAGAATGAAGGTTCCTCCTGCTCCACCAGAGAGAAGCTGATGCGTAGGTATCAGCCTAGGACCGACCGTGGAAAGGGGTTTGAATGTTGACAGATGATTGAAGTCCCAGTCCTGCTTGCTGGCATCTGGGCTCCCATCCATAACACACTGGAAATTTTTGTATATATACTTTAAGTGCTGGGGTACATGTGCAGAACATGCAGCTTTGTTACATAGGTGTACATGTGCCATGGTGGTTTGCTGCATTTCCGGTGTCATTTTTCACTCTCACCGTGAAGGAAATACCAGGACCCCTGGAGGGCCGCTCCGTGGTGGGGGAGGCAGCCTTCGCATGCGGGTCTTTGAGTGTCTTGCTTGCAGGGAGAATAGTGGCTTAACTAACCAAAACGGGACACGAGCCGGTGAGCCTGCTTCCTGAGTGAGTGGCTGATGTGACTGTGAGAAACTGGCTCCTATTTCCTCCCCAGTTATCTTTGCCTCCTCACTTTTTTAGGTGTGGAGCCTTGGGGGGACCCCAGCAATCTGTTAACTGGGGCTGCCTGTAGTGCTCCCTCCAAGGGCAAATGTGAGGATAAAGGTAACCTCTTAGGGGAAGTACCTGACGGCGTTACAGGCATATTAGCGTTCATTGCCATGATCTTCCCGGGTCAGGCTCCTTAAAGACCTCCTTCCTGCCCCTTACTCAAAAGGCAGCCGCTGTGTCTTGAGCTGTTTTTATGCGCAGGCATAAAAACACTGAGTACTTTCATGTACCTTGTGTCAATTCAATCTTACAGCAACCTGAGAGTGGGAGTCCCAATTGTGCAAAGAGGGAAGTGAGAAACTTGCTCAAGTTCACTTCGCTGGTGGGTCACAGTTACCCACTATGCCACACTGAAGGTCCCATCCTTACCCAGAAGCTGCCTTCCCTGGGCAGGTGGGAGGGGGCCTCTGGAAATCCCCTAGAACGATCTACAGTGAGGGTTGGCAAGCTTCAGGAGGGGTAGCGGTGGAGACAGGAAGTCGAGCAGGAGGGGTGAAAGTGAAGGAGGGAAGGGGAAGTCAGGTTACTGAAAAGGAAGTACAGTTTTGCAGAGCGCTGGCGGGATGTGGCTGCTTAGCCACACATGATGGAGCTGTCAGGTGGACTGTCCTCCCACCCCCCTTCAAGCCCATATTTCATTTTCCCTTGGACCTGAGACCTATGAGTCCAGAAGGGCAAACCAGGAGCTGCCAGCTGAGGAGCCATTCATTTTGCCTTCCTCCTGGAGGCCCAGAAAAGGACGAGTGCAGTTACCACAGCACGTCTGTCCCGGTGGGTGATGCCCTCAGCAGAGCCGCATGGGGCAGGGAGTATTCCCCAAGTAAGGGGTCCAGAGGAGGAACTGGGGTGCCCTCAGGGAAGCCCAGGCAGGGAGCTTCCCAACAGGTCATGTTTGGTGCCCTGTGTGCCTGGGCAGAATCCAGGGCTCCCTCCTGCACCCACCCCAGCAGCACCGTCTCCTGGAGACACAGGCCGTTCTGCAGCTGCCCTCCTCTGCCTGCTCTGTCCCACGTGGCCAGCAGCTCCTTCTCCCACAGACATTTCCATAAAAGCAATCAGCACGACATACTTTTATTGGGCACTAGGGGGGTCACAGAGAAAGGCTCATAGCAGCACGCAGTAGAAAACAGGAAGCCGTTTGCTTGAGGTCACTCTTAAAATTTCCTTGACCATTCCTGAGGATTTCTCACTGGGTGTTTTCTTCCATGGCCACGGTGTCCACTGTCCCACCCTCCCACCTTCCCTCCCTGCAGCCTTTTCTCTCCAGGGCCCCAAGACTGTTGTCAAGCTGCTATGGATGACCCCCAAATCTTTCCCATCTACTCTAACTCAAGGGGACTGAGCTCTCACAACCAAAATGAACTTTGGGACATTTTCTTCAACAAAAAACTAACATTTCTCTTACAGAAAATCAGCTTAAACTCTCACCTGTGCTTAAAAAAAATTCCAACACACAACAGGATTCTTAGAAGAAAAAACCATATTTCTCTGTTCTACGCTGCATCCACTTTGTCCTTCTTTCTCTTCTCCCTGCTTCATCCACCAAGCACAGTTCCAGGAAACACTAGTAAGAGAAAACTTTGTGTAAAATCAAACTGATTTCAGGGGCTAATTTTGAAGCCTCCCATGAAGAGGATACAATATCAGATGTGTCGATGAAAAGACAAAATGCATTTGTGTCTGTTCCAAGATGTGAAGCTGTGTTGACTGCAGTTGGGGACACGTACGCTGGCCTATAAAAGCGCTAACAATTCATGAATGTCAACAGCTGTCAACTTACAGTGTTTCCAACTGGGTGAAATTAAATTTCATCCCAATGTCATTTCTCTTGCGGATGAGAGTCTTAGAGATCATCAGACCAATATTTTAAGCGTCTAATGCCATGACTCAGCCTTACTTTTTCAAAGGCTAGTTCGAGAAGCCCTGTGATTCCTTTGAAATTGATCTCTCAATATTTCCTAATGCTCTCCTAAAGCTCAGTTCTACCATAGAGAACCTGAACTATCTCTGTGAAGACCTTTCTAACTTTTATAGACCTTTCCTTCCCCAAAATATTTACTGTCAATGTAGATCTTAAATTTCGCGCCATGGACATTTGTCATTTCTTTCTTAGTCCCAAATGGTGCCTTTGTTCCTTCTTCCCCCCTTCCTCTCTGGAAGGAGGCCTGCAGCCATGTCAGATGGCCCATCATTACCCAAATCTGGAATTAACCAGAGGTGGCGTCCAGGACAGCAAAGTATTTCTCTTGCAGATGATTAAATACAGGTGGCATTATTTTGATGCTGTCTGCCTTCTCAATCTTCTTTTTCCAGGTGGGTATCATGTTTGGTTGGGCTGTGTCTCTGGAACATTCTTCTGGCTCTCTGCCTGGAAAATTCTTACTCTGTTTATGAGGCAGACAGAAAGCCCTTCCCCACCTCTGGGATAGAACTGGTCTCTCTGTTTCCTCAGGGCCCTGACAGCACCTTAAGCACACTGTGTGATAATCCAAACTCTTCGAGTATTGCACAGCTATTCCGAGCCTGGCCCATCTTGTCCTTAGGCTGTATTGGGAGGGACCCAAGGCTGCATCCAGGCTCAGTGGTGGAAACAGTTCTACAACAGATTGATGATGTCACCTTCATGTCACAGAGGGGAGTGATGGCACATGTGCCGAGTATCTGTCATCCTTCCCAGAATGCTTACTAAATATTTGAAGAGTACTAAACAAGTGACAGCAATTGACAAGCATTTTTCTCTGAGTGCTCTAACCTTGGGGAACACTAGCTGGCTGGTTTTTAGCTACCTTTTTCCAACACTGCCCTGTACCGTCCTACGGTGGGTAGTTCACCAAGATGCAGCTGTAACTGAAGCCATGCCAGTCCCTTCCATACACAAAGCCTTTTGCTCCTGTCACAAAGAGCCAGGGTCTTTGCGTACGTCCACAGTATGAGCCCATGTCCTGAACACCAGGTTGCTGGGAGTCAGGGGCTGTTCTGCGTGTCTAGGAGATGCTGGCTTTGCCATGTCAGACCAAGGAGAAAAGAATCCTCTTTACAAGGCTGCTGATGAACTTCTCATTGAAAGCAGCTCCGTATCTGTTTTTCCATCCCAATCAAAGCGTGTCTCGCCTTCTCACGGCTGAAGGCTACCGTTTTGACACGGTCTTGCTTCCTGTTTACACCACAGGAAGCCAGAGAGCTGCTGCCACTGCTGCTGCCAGAGGAAGACACGGCAGGGAGAAGCCCTAGTGCCTCTGCCAGCTGCCCAGGACCTGGTGTCGGCCCACAGACCACATCCTCCACAGAGGGCGAACCAGGACAGAGAAGAGCCAGCCCAGGTAAGCTTCCAATGAGATCTTCCAAAAGGAAGGGTCTTTTGAAGAAAGGTACAGGGATAAGATAAGAGCATGACTGGCCTGAGGATCAGCATGCTCTGCATTGACTCCACCGCTGGACCTGGCTGATCAACAGTCGGGAGTCCCGGGTGCTGGGCAGCAGGACTGGAGGTGCTGTCCAGGGTGTGGAGCCTCCCGGGTGGAAGGGTGATGCCGTGCAGCAGGAAGGGAAGCCATTCTGGATAGTCGGGAGGATGGAGCCTCAGAAGAGGTCCAAAGGCATGCCCACCCAGCCATCCCGGGCAGCTGCCTCTAGGGTGCCCACATTCCAGTTGCAACATTCCTGCTGCATTTAGGATTTCTGAGTCGGAGACTGCAGTGCCAGAAAAGTATAAATAGAATTTGCCAGTGGTCGCTTCCTCCATGAAGTAGATGGCAAGGGTGCACCCATGTGGTACACCTGGCAATGCTAAGACATGACTTGAATATTTAGTCTCTTGCTAGAAAGAGCATAGAACTTGGAGTCAGGGAACCCTGGGTCTGCCCATCATTAGCATGACTCTGAGCAACCTGCTTCACCTTTCTGAGCCCAGATTCACTCATCAGCAATGGTGCGTGATGGAAGAGCACATGAGCCCCCAGCATATGAGGCGCTCAGAAAGCACACACTGAATGCTGGCTTCGTGAGGTCCTGTGCTAGAGGCCAGGGAGAGAGAGAGGGATGAGATGGGTCAGGTCCTGCCTCCAAGGAGCAGCTAGCAGGTGGCAGAAAATAAACATATAGGCTCTACCCCATATGACTGTTTGAGAAACACTACAGGAAAAGTCCATGAAAGCCTTTTGGAGGGCGAAGGGACATTTTAGAAAGATCTAGCACATCTTGCCCAGAGCAGAGGCCTGTGGGGGCGGCTCCTTTCGCTTCCCTTAGTCACCCTCATTGAGGAACATACTAGCGAAAGCAAACGCCTCAGTGTTGAACTGGCAGGAACTTGTCACCCCAATCTGTAGCGGGGTTGACTGTGGAACCTCTGCCTCCTGATTCTCACAACAGCCCCTTGTAGCCAAGCCATTCAGAAACGCAGAAACAGGCTGAAGGGCTGGGCCCACTTGCCAAAGACCAGTCTCTTGGAATGTGCAGTACTTCTCTTTGATATCATCGAGGTGTAATGCTCCACCTGATTCCCTTCTTTTGAAACCTGGCATTGAGACAAGGGGCAAGAGGGATCAGAGTTCCTTAAACTGGGTTGCAGTCCAGTAGCAAGCACTGCTCAGAGCTCACAGGCCAGCCTCCCTCTGCTCCTGGGAAAGAGAGCTGGGGCACAGTCTCCCCTATGCGCACAGATGTGATGCTGGTTCAATGCTGGCTTCTGAGAAATGCTCCTGTGTGCTCCAGGGCACGCCTGAGGTCCTGGCTGGCACAGAACAGGCTGCATTTGCAATCCCCTGCTTATCACATGTCTGACACCCAGGCTGCGTCCCGGGTATCTTCAATCAGTACCTAGGGGTGGGCATCAGTATTTTTAGGACCCTCCAGATTCCAGTGTGTAGCCAAGGTGGAGAATCCTTGGCACAGATTTCTTTCTACCTGGAACCTTTTCATCAGCTCTTGAGGGAGGGAAAACACTCCTTTGCTGAGCAAGTTGATCAATGACCTGTGTATAGGGAGAGCCGCAAACAGCTTCGGGGCCAGGCAGGTGCATACGTGGGAAATGCCGGCTGGGTGACAGGGAGTGTGAGGAGCTGTGGGGAGCTGCGGTGGCCCCATTGGAAGGTGTGCACAGGCGCCGTGCTTTTTAATGACATGGGTAGGCCCAAACACAAACAGCTGCCAACCTATGACCTTTGTCTTAGAAGTTTAAACAGTAAGAGAATTGCTTTGGCTTTTCCACATTTAACACAGTATCTCGGAGGCTCCTTAGTGCAGTAGAAAAGACGTAAACTTTGAGAGTCAGGAGACATGCGGTCTGGGCCTGGCACTGCCATGAGATGGCCCCTTAACCTTTCTTGAAATGTAAAATGCCAGAGATCGGCCCAGATGTTTTCTGAGTACCCTTCCTGGCCTAAACACTAGGCAGCCATGAGGTTAACTCCTGCTTCTGGCTCTTCACTCCTGCCTGTTGGTAACCCAGTCAGGTAATACCACCTGGAGCTCACCCACCTGGTGTCTCCCACTTCTGCCAGTCTCCTCCTCTTGAATCCATCTTGCTGTTCAGCTTGGAAACTAGAATGTAGGCAGAAACATCACACTATGATGTAACACACAGCTTTTGGCCTCGTTTCTGCACGTAGTGACCCAAACATCCCCGATAAAACACCCGCTGCTTAAGAGGCAGGCTCGGATGGACTGTAGCTTTGATACCACAGCCGAAGACCCTTGGGTTAGAATCTCCGACTGCATCAAAAACTTATTTAGCCCCATCATGACTGAGAACCATAGCCACATGCGTCTCCAGCACAATGCCAGCCTGAGTGAAGACGATGGGACACAGGGCCACCCAGATGGGACCCCACCAAAGCTGGAGACGGCCAATGGCACTCCCAAAGTTTACAGGCCAACAGACAGCAGCACTGTGAAGAAGGGTCCCCCAGTGGCTCCCAAGCCAGCCTGGTTTCGTCAAAGCTTGAAAGGTTTGAGGAGTCGTGCTTCCGACCCAAGAAGGCCCCCGGATCCTGCCTTGTCTGCCCAGCCAGCGCCTGCTTCCAGGGAGCACCCAGGACCACACACCCAGGCTTCCTCCTCCTCCTCCTCCTCCATCAAGCAGAGAATCAGCTCCTTCGAGACCTTTGGCTCCTCTCAACGGCCTGACAAAGGAGCCCAGAGACTAAGCCTACAGCTCTCCTCTGGGGAGGCAACAAAGCCTGTTGGGAAGCATGAGGGAGGTCGGCTTCCTGGACTCTGGGGCCGAGGGGCTGCACCCACTCTTGCACCCCAGGAGACTAAGCAAGTGCTGCCCTCGGGGTCTCCTGCAGCCTCCGAGGCCAGAGACCCAGGTGTGTCCGAGTCCCCTCCCCCAGGGCGGCAGCCCGGTGAGAAAACTCTTGCTCCTGGCCCAGACCCGCTCCTAAGGCTACTGTCAACACAGACTGAGGAATCTCGAGGCCCAGTGCTCAAGATGCCAAGCCAGCGAGCACGGAGCTTCCCCCTGACCAGGTCCCAGTCTTGTGAGACGAAGCTACTTGATGAAAAGACCAGCAAACTCTACTCCATCAGCAACCAAGTGTCATCAGCTGTCATGAAATCCTTGCTGTGCCTCCCGTCTTCTATCTCCTGGGGCCAGGCTCCCTGCATCCCCAAGGAAGGGGCATCTCCAACATCATCATCCAACGAAGACCCAGCTGCAAATGGTTTGGCTGAAACATCTGCCTCAGACATGGGGTTCTCGCTCAAGTGAGTTTCTATACCTGGTGTTTCTCTCCACCTTTCTCATCTTTTTCTCACCTTTCTTTTTAAAAATAATTCTATATATCATTTAAAAATTTTCTCAGATATGCTGGTTAAAGGATTGTTTTGCCTCTTTACATGTGTGTGCAGATGTGCGTGTGCGTGTGTCTATCTGTAGGTATCACACCTGTGCCTTCCATATTAAGGAGGAGTTTTCACAACACCTGGCTTCAGGAGGGCTGGGAGGTAGGGGAAGGGACTAGCTCCCTGGTGAATTGCTCATGGGGGCTGTTGCACGCCTGTGGAGGTTTGGAAGGCTGATGCACATTTAAATGTCCTGCGGTTACTCAGAAAGACCACAGTGAGGCCAGGAGATTATCCATCGGGAATTCTTACTGGCCTCCAAAAGGAATCCACTTGCACTCTGCACATGGGTTCAACTCCCTGGTCAGGGAGTTAGGATGTCTGGGTCCTCGTCCCAGCTCGGGCACTGATTCTGACTATGAGCAGGTTCCTTCCATGCTCACCCTCAGATTCCTCTTCAGCTAAAATTAGGAGGTGGATGAGACCTGCTTTGTAGAACCAGGGGACTGTCTGTCAGAGGTGCCATGGGGCTCCTGCTGTAGGGATGGGGTTTGGTCTTCCCTCTGATCAAAGTAGCTCTGCATCTATTGGTTGCATTTATTGTTCTTATGCTGCTGGGAAATATCTGTAAAGGGATCTACTCATAGATTTGTTACACAAATAATACGCACATAAGTGCTTGGACACACCTGGGATAGAGTAATTATACAATCACTTAAGCTCCTTTTAATATTATGATCCCTACTGTGTGTTTTTTCTCTCTATGAAAGCCTTTCAGAGCTGAGAGAATATACAGAGGGTCTCACAGAGGCCAAGGAAGCTGATGATGGGGACCACTGCTCCCCTCAGTCTGGTCAGTCTGTCATCTCCCTGCTGAGCTCAGAGGAATTAAAAAAACTCATCGAGGAGGTGAAGGACCTGGATGAAGCAACATTAAAGGTAGGTTTCGTTTGTAAGCATCTGCAGTAACCAATGGCTTATTATGGCTGTGTGGTCACCTTGGCTGGGCCAGAGGGGTAGTAGCTTGAGTCGCCTGCCAACATCAGACCAGCCTGTGTCCTGTGGTGGTGGGACGCTGTAGCACGTGACCACAGTAAGACCTTCCCTTTGAAAAGAGCTTTTTAGCTTGTGAAACATTTTCAGTCGATTGACTTCTTGCGTCGCCTTTGGTCATTTTATAAATGAGAAAGGTAAGGCTCAGTCAAGGTTACAGAGCCTCGCTTTTCTCTCTCCAAGTTGAAGTTCAGTGCTGTTTCCACACCCTGTGGGCTGCTGGCCTGGCATGTGTCTCTAATGGGATGCTGTCCCTGGTAAACAATGTGGGTCACAAGAACTCTCACCTGGTGCTTTATTTCCACTGTGCACAGAGAGGTGACTGATCCCAGGGCTCACAGGTCCCCACACTTCAGCCAAGTCATTCTGAAAGTCCCACTTCCCATATGTTTTCTGAGCATGACCCAAAGGGGTGTGGGGAGGAAGTGGCCAGGCTGAGCTGGGGCCAGCAGTCAGATGAGCTTGGGCTCGTGGGTCCTGCACCATGGGGCTGCCCCAGGCCTACACAGGCATTTGGTACTAGAATGATCCAGACTAGGATGAGAGGATAAGGAGGTTCTCATTTTCTATACAAGGAGACCTCATTCATAGCTGCAATTCCCACATCAAGAGTGTGGGTGAGTCTGATGAGTACAAGGTGCTGCTGGGCTGAGATTCTTTCTCTGTGGCTCTCACTCATCATCTGGGACCACCATCCCCCAGGACCTTACTCAGCACAAATGAAATAACAGAGGCAAGGCATGTAAAACAAAGAGCTGTCCTGCCTGCGCTGCTCTGGGGAGAGTGTTTGCTTTCTAACCTGACAAGAGCCTTCTGCAAGGCAAGTAACCTCATACTTGAGTAAAAGTTGAGAGACTTGGGCTAGTGCTGGGGCTTGGAGGTGGGGGACAGTGGGGTGCATACATCCTTCCATTCCTTTGGGTCTTAGGGGCTCCAGATCTTAGGATCATAGGGACAGATGTGTCAGGTGCTCTAGTGACTCTGAGCCAGTAAATGATTTGACATAAATTTACTCCTTAGTGCCATGGTACAAACAGGTGGCCCAAGGGCTTGTAGGTATATTTCATTTGATCTGCACATTGATTTAAAAAATATTGAATTCTAGATATTATAAAACCTGAATTGAAACCTGGACTTTTTTGGGGAAAGTGATCTGGTGGTGCTGGGTCTGTATTCCTACGTAGAGCCGACCCTCTGAGCAGATGTACTCAGCTCTCTGCAGTTCCCATCACTCATGTCTGCCCATTTTGCTCACTTCAGTGACCTGCCTGACTCCTACAGGCATCTGAGTTTGAAACCCCTGCTCTAGACTGGAATAGGAGTCTGTGTCCTGGCTCCATGTGAGCCCCTGTCTAGGCTAGAAGTACTGCAGTACGTGTGTGTGTGTGTGTGTGTGTGTGTGTGTGTGTGTGCGCGCGTGCGCGCGCGCGCGCTGTGATTTCTGGCTGACTTCATCATGGCACCCTCCTCTGGGTGTGGATGGGGAGAGTGAGAGAGGAAAATAATTATGCTTGCTGCTTTACATATTTTTTCTTTTAAGCTTCGCATGACTCCTGAAGAGTCCATTCTTTACAGATGAGGAAACTGAGGTTTGAGGAGGTGATGTAACTTGGAGGCTGGCCAAGCTGGGGTTTGAGATGACACATCAGTCTGATGTTAAATTGCTCATCCTCTTGCAGTAAAGTGTTTTTGAATGTATGTGTGTATTTCCTTCTGCAGCAGTTAGACAGCATTCACGTCACCATCTTACACAAGGAGGAAGGTGCTGGTCTTGGGTTCAGCTTGGCAGGAGGAGCAGATCTAGAAAACAAAGTGATTACGGTGAGTGGGCAGGTGAAGGGGCGTGGTGGAGGCAGAGGCAATGGCTCTGGGGGAGGGGGTACACTTGCCAGGAAGGGACCTTGTGCTGGGGAAATGAGGAATGCATGACACCAGGCACTGGGCAGGTCCTGTTCCCTCAGCACATCCCAGAGCCTGGGACCACATGGAGAGGGTGGCAGGCCTGGCCATAGCCACCTTTTCCTGTGGGTCTCATTATTCTGGCTCATCCAATCTGATCAGCATGGGCTGCTGCCTTCAGATCACCTGTACCTGACCCAGATGGTTTCTGGTTCTGCCGGTTTTCTGGAGCCTTGGAGCCTTGCTGTGGCTACTCTGTCTCTACAGCCAACTGCGTTATCATCCCATGGCTGCGTTGTTGTCTCAGGGTATTTTTTGTGTGGGCTGTGCTGGTCTCATGTGAATTTCCTCGCCCAACTGAAAACAAATCCTCCAGTTCACAGCATCAGCCAGCATTAAACAGACCACACCCTCTTGCAGTGGCAATCTGGCACGTTCCCACCTGTCACTTCAGAGGCCATGATGTGTCAGTGGTGACTTCCTTAATTTCTTGATAAGTTCTCTACTACATAAAAAGCACATAAAACCAGTAAGTCTCTGCTTCTCTCACTGAGCACAGATGAGTATTACAACAAGGTTCCTGACCCTGTAGTTTACTTTCTGCTTGGGGAGAAGAAAAGAGCTTGCCTGTGAGAAAAGCACTTGGGATGTTCTTCTCTGTCCGTGGGTAGCAACTTCTGCCCATGTCACCTGACCAGTTACCCCTGAGACACTGCAGACAATAGGAAACTAGGAGGAAGGAGCGCACGTTGGCTGAGCACATGCACGAAAACTTCTCCGTGTTTGAGAGCTTCTCTTCCTTTCTACACTGATTAAAAGGGCACTAATACAGAGCACTGTCCATGGCCATGCTGACCACTCACTGACCTGTGGTCTGAATTCGTCCTCTCCACACTTTGTATTGATAAATTCCTGGCATTTTTGCTTTTTTTATAGAACAGGAACCTGAGGTTCAGAGGCGAGGTTCTGCTTCGTGCTTGGGTTTTACAGCCTTGGGATTCTAACCATGTAACAGAATTTTTCTAACACCAAAATAATTTAGAGAAGCAAAGAGCTTTGCTCCCATCATAGAAGCAAAACTACAGGTACATTTTAGTGGTTTCCATGCATGCTACCACTCAGTCACTCGTTATAATTAATAACGAACCTCATTAAAGAGGCTGAGACATGGGATTTCCGTGTGTGTTTATCCCACATATCTTGCAGAAAGAGGAACAAGGAGTGGTTGGAGGTAAAGAGTCAGAATTTCTAGGGGAGGAGCTAGAAAAATGTATAGACTGTCTAAGAGAGTTTCTCAAAATGCACTCTGCCAAGTGAGACTGAGAATTTCTCTACAAGAAAAGGATTCTTTGTTGAAACACTTTGGGAATCCCCATAATACCCCGCCAATACTTAGAAATCTGCCACGCAAATTTGCATTGTAGACTCTCTAATGCCTTTTGCTTTTTAAAAGTAGACTGTTTCAGAGCTTTTGTTTACCCAGTATTCCTCAAGTCTCTTTGATTTTAAAAAAAATTTCTTGGCTGGGTGTGGTGGCTCACACCTGTGATCCCAGCACTGCGGGAGCCCAAGGTGAGAGGACTGCTTGAGCCCAGGAGTTTGAGACCATCCTTGGAAACATTGGGAGACCCCATCTCTATTTTTTAAAAATAGGAAAAGCCCTTTTCTTACAGAATACACATTAATATGCCATAGTGCTTGAGAAAACTACTTTGGGGAATTCTGACCTAGGGTAGGCGAGGCAAAAGATTTTAACTGGAATGCCAACTGGAATTGTGGTGATATAGTTTAAGACACTGTGTTGGGATGGATTCTGAGGGCTGATCTGGTCATTATTGCTGGAGATCTCTGCTCTGCATGGAGGAGGAGGGAATGCTGGCCTCTGTTCCAGCAGCTCTGATCTAGGACACAATTACCGTTAATCCTCGTTGGCCTAAAAATCCTCTAGCATTGACTAACGGGTCAGTCCTCCTCCAGCAAGAATGCTGACTTGAGCGATTTCTGGTACTGACTTCCTTTGGTTTGCTCAGGTTCACAGAGTGTTTCCAAACGGGCTGGCCTCCCAGGAAGGGACTATTCAGAAGGGCAGTGAGGTTCTTTCCATCAACGGCAAGTCTCTCAAGGGGACCACGCACAATGACGCCCTGGCCATCCTCCGCCAAGCTCGCGAGCCCAGGCAAGCTGTGATTGTCACAAGGAAGCCGACTCCAGAGACCGTGCCCGACCTCAACTCCTCCACCGACTCTGCAGCCTCAACCTCTGCAGCCAGTGATGTTTCTGTAGATTCTAGTAAGTTCCCCACTCAGCGGAAGCCCCGTGGGCCACATCCTCTTTGGCCATTTGGGGCTGGACTGATGGTGCTGCTCAGTAATTTGTGAGCCCAAGAATGCATGGCCTGCCTAGTACGCCATCTGAGATGTATTCTGTCTTTACGTGGGCCTGTGTGCAAACACGGGGGGGCAGCACCACTCCGGGCTCACTTGAAGCCCACTGCACCTGTGGTCTGGGAGAGGAGAAGACCCCTCACAGGTCCTTGTGTTTTTCTCAGCAGCAGAGGCCACAGTGTGCACGGTGACACTGGAGAAGATGTCTGGAGGGCTGGGCTTCAGCCTAGAAGGAGGGAAGGGCTCGCTGCAGGGAGACAAGCCTCTCACCATTAACAGGATTTTCAAAGGTATGGGGTGTGTCTGGTTCCTTGCGTGCTCTCCAGTTGTGGGCATGTGG